TAAATATTGTTCCCACTACACTCAGACACTGATCAGTGAAGTAGAAGAAAAAGATATCCTGCCATATTGATTGGAAAAGGTGTGAAAAAAGGGGGGGCTGGGAACCTAAGAGTTAGTCCTAATAGCCAGTGTCTTTTTTTTTTAAGAAAATTAACAGACTGAAAAATGAAACCAGAAGTCAAAGAGCAGAGAAATATTTAGTGCCCTCATTTCCCCATTTGACACCTATCTATCTGAGTGAGAGGCCAAACAGATACTAATAATGACCCTGGGCAAAGATTACAAAAAGAGTAAAACATTCTGTTTTGTTACTCCTACCTCATCATTGACTTTCTAATCACTAAGGTAAAAACATCTTGGTTTTATGTATACAATGCAGAAGTCAAGAGTTATTGTGAGTTTGATTACAGCATACTGAACTGGAAAACTTCCTGACGATACCTAAATTCCTTTAGTAACAAAAGAATGATATCTGGAACACAGTTAGAATAGTTACGGGTATTCAGCACATTTTGTACTGTGGAGTTAGACAATAAACCAGATGAGATTTAGCAATAAAAATCTGATGGACATATATGGGCATTGCTATATTCAAATGTGGCTTGTCAGCCCCATTCCACATACACACCAACCTTTAATGGTATTTGAAGTGCCTTCCATGAAGGCCTTCCGTGAGGTTCTCTGTACCCACAAACCGTGGAGTAGTCTCAAAATGGAGGCAGATATACAGAAGGAAACAGAATCCAAGTGGAGAAAATAGGAATCACAATGGCATTTGTGATTTAGAAAATTTCATGAATTACCTAAATGTTGGGGGTTTTTTTGTGATGCCACTTTTTGACATTTAAAAATTTAAGTTCAATAGCTGTCATATTTTAGGCTTATTATAAAAGCAAAATCTCAACATAAAAATGATGTAAAAGACATAGATAGATAGATCTCTTGTGTCTCTGTGTGTGTCTGTGTGTGTATCCCATCTTCATCTCTCATTTTAGCTCTCATTCTTCTTCTACACTCTTCCCTTCATCAGTCTGTTTTGCACTAGAAAACTTTTGTTAAAATATAGAAAATGTACTGGAATATATACAGGCAGTGTGTGTAGTGGGAAAAGGATTAGGAGTTAGAAAACCTGAGTTTTAGCCCTACCTTCACCACTGGTTAGCTGTGTGACGAGGGACATTTCGCTTAAATCTCCCTGAGCCTTGATTTCCTCATCGATAAAATTAAGTAATACCACTTGTACTTGCTTACCTTACAGGGTTGTTGTTGTTCTGACAACCAAATGAGAATATGTATCTGAATGTAAGTACTATACAAGTGTGAGATATTATTACCTTGAAAATGAATTTTTATAGCTGGTTGTGGAGTACTCAAGTTCCCTCCAAAAACATAGAAATTAAAGAAGATTTCTGCTAAATGGGGAAAATGTGCAATTCACTGAATGGGATCCTTGTGAAGAATTCAGAGAAATATGGGAAGATATAAATTTATTTATGAGGAAGTAAGCAGAACTCAGTAAAAGTATGTAATGACTACAATATAAATGAGGGGGCAGAATAGCAATAATAACAACAACAACAAAAAACCCCTGAACACCACATAATTATATTAACAAAACTTTTCCTCACAAAAGAGGTAAGAAAATGCACCTACATCCCTTCTTTGAAGAGGTAGGGGATTGTGGGTGTTCTACATGGCCTATATCAAACTCATTTGATGTGTTGGTTAATTACATTGAGCTACTTTTTTTCCATTATTTTATTTTTTGTTACTAGGGGTGGTTCTCTGGGTAGGGAAGGGAGGAGAGGCATATTTGGAAATAAAGGTAATATAAATATCAATTTTAAAGAATTCAGGAGGCAAGTATTAAAGTAATAATGCATCATTAAGCAAATTTCTGTTTATGGTTGTTTTGAATTATCTCCCCCAAAGTCCCCCAAAGCACCATCGTTTCTAAGCCACTTGCCTAATTATTTTTAACTATGTTTTAAAAATTAACAAGCATTTTTTCTTCCTCACACCCCCCTCCTAGGGGAAAAATATTTTTTAAAACCCTTGTGACAAATATTCAGTCAAGCAAAATGTGTTCCTACATTAGTCATATCCAAAAAATAGGTGTATTTTCCTGCATGTTTGGTCCATCCCTTGTCTGTCAGAAGGTGGGTAACATATTTCACTATTATTCCTCTTGAATTTTGGTCGACCGTTGTGTTCATAAAGTTCTTAAGTGTTTCAAAGCTATTTTTATTTACAAAGTTGTTACCTTGTAAATTGTTCTTTTGCTTCTCCCTTCACTTTGTATTAATTCATGCAAGTCTTCTTAGATGTCTCTGAAAGGATTTCTTTTTGTTCCTTACAACACAATAGGTGGCACAGTGGATAAAATGCTAGGCCTGGAATTAGGAAGACTTCCTGAACTCAAATCTGGCCTCAGACAGTTATTAGCCTTGTGACCCTTGGCAAGTCACTTAACTCTCTTTGCCTCAGTTTCCTCATTTATAAAATGATCTGGAGAAGGAAATGGCAAACCACTCTGCTATCTTTGCTAAGAAAACCCCAAATGAATCACCAAGAGTAAGATACAACTGAAAATGACTGAATAACAACACAATAGTTTCTGTTACATTCAGATACATTCAAGTTTATTCATCCAATCCCCAAATGATGAGAAAATTTCCAGTTCTTTGCTACCAAAAAAAAAAAGCTATGAATATTTTTTGTACATACAAATCCTTTTCCTCTTTTTCTGATCCCTTTTGGAAATAAGCCTAGTAATGGCACTTCTGAGTCAAAGGACATTCACAGGTCAGTAACTTTTGGGGATTATTTCCAAATTTCTTTCTAAGATGACCAGACCTTATAATTGTTAGATTGGCAAAGTTGACATAAAAAGAAAATGATATGTGTTAGAAAGTGCCTTTTTTTTGCCAGTCTGATAGGTATGAGGTGCAATGTCAGAAGAGGTTTAGTTAGCATTTCTTTACTTATTGATGATTTGGAACTCTTAATGTGGTTAATGATAGCTTGGTTAATAAATAAAACTAGGAGCTGTTTTTAAGAAGTAAGACAGACCATTAACTAATTTGATTTTTTTAAAGAGGTGAATCAAATTATCATTATCAAAAATGAAAAGGAGAAGTTCACAAAAAATGGAAAAACAATAAAAGAAATTATTAGAAATTCTTTTTGCCCAAGTCTATGTCAATGAAATGGACAAAATAAATATGTATAAAATATGAAATGCTGACATTAATAGGACAAGAAAAATATAATTTAAATAACCTGCTCTTAGAAAAAAATCAACTGAACAAGTCATCAAAATACTAAAGGAAGAAAAACTCAGGATCATACAGCTTTAGAAGTAAATTATATCAAACATTTAAAGAAAAATGAATTCCTGTCTCACACAAACTGTTTTTAAAAGTAGGAAAAAGAACTTTTACCAAATTTCTTCTTTGATACAAATATGAACTTGACACCTAAACTGGAGAGAATCCAGACAAAGAAAGAAAACTATCCCTAATGAATATCAGTGAAAATTTTTAAACCAAAGTATTAGCAAAGAAGCTATAGCAATATAGCAAAAAGATTGTACACATGACTAGGCTGGAAACTATCAAAGTAATTAACCATGTTAATAACCAGAACAATAAAAATCATATAATTGTGTCATTAGATGCAGAAAAGTCTTTTGATAAAATAAAATATCTATTTCTGTTCAAAAAAAATTTATTGGCTGTCCCAAAAGTGTTGGTGCAATTTTTACTGCACTAAAACTAAGGGCCAACATTATATATGAGGGAGATAAACTAGAGTCTTTTCTAGATTACAGTTAAAGTAAGGATGTCAATTGTCACCACTATCATTTGATGTAGTGCTAATAGTTCTAGGTATAGTAATTAAATAAGAAAAAAAAATTGAGAGAATAAGCATATGCAAAGAGGAAATAAAACAATCACTTCTGGAGATGATTTGTGGTGTATTTAAAGCTAACTCAAGTAGAAATTGGGGTGTCTAATCCATACATAAGGATTCCTATAGGTCACATATTAACTTAGTTTTAAAATGTAGCCTTCAGCAATAAAAAGGCCAAGAATCTATAGGGAAACAATGAGAAAGGGTGTTAAACAATCATCTCCAACTATACAATAAAGCTATAATCATAAAAATTATTTGTTGTTGCCTAAAAAATTGAGAGGTTGATCATTGGAACAAATTTGTTATACAATATGCAGAAATAAAATTAACCTTATAGCTTTCTGTTCAGTAAACCCAAAGATCTTAGCTATTAGGGGAAAACTCAGTATTTGACAAAGATTGTTAGGAAACTTGAAAGCTATCTGTCAGAAAGTAAGTTTAGATCAGCATCTCACACCATATACCAAATAGGAGTTCTTAATGGCTATGTGGATTAGATATAAAAGGTCAAATTATAAACTAAGTGGAGGAACTTATCTTTAAGATCTGTGTATAAGTGAAGAGTTCATGAACAATTACCAGCCTCTCTAACTTTTAAGTCTCATCTTTTACTGGAAGCCTTCCCCAATTTCTCTTATGTCTAATGTCTTCACTCTGTAATTATTTCTTTTTTTTATCTTGTATATAGATTGTTTCATATTTATTTGTTTGCATGGTGTCTACTTCATTGAATTGTAAGCTCTATGAGAGTAGGAACCATCTTTTATATTTTTAATAGTACTTAATATGGTGCCTAGACCATAGTAGACAATTAATAAATGTTTAGTGTTTGGTTGATTTATAAAAACAAGGGATAGAAAGGATGACAGAAGATAAAATGGACAGTTTCAATTACATAAAATTAAAAATATTTTTTCACAAATAAAATCACTATAACAGGTAATTAGGGAAAAATTTGACAGCAAGTTTCTCTGATAAAGATATGATTTCCAAGACATATCAGGAACTGAGTCAAATTTGTAAGAATAAGAGCCATCCTCAGTTGGTAAATGGTCAAATAGTTCTTATGTTTTCTCTAATAGGTAATCATGTAGGCATCTCCAAATCAACAGATGCTTTTGCCTTTGATGAGGACAGCAGCAATGATGAACTCTCTCCAGAACAGATACGAAGTGAAGACTCACAAAGTTCTAATAGTTTCCCACCTGACACAAAAGCCACAGGGGCCTCTTCATCTGCCCCATCAGAAACAACTCAGGTAAATGAACAAAATCCAAGTCCCTAAATATGTGGTACTTTCTATACCATAAGGAAAAGTACTCCAGAATCTCTCTCAGCTGAAAACAGTCTATCAAAACATTCATGTTAGGTTCCTTTGACATTTCTCTTGATGTGATTCAAAACAGCTAATTTTCATCACATATTTCACAGACCAGTTTGATGGCAACAAAAGACTCCATGGAACCTTGACTCCACACTCTTGAATGGCCAAAAAAATAGTTCTATCATATTTATAAAGCACTTAAAAGTTAACAACTTTCAAGTGGAAATATTACTCCTATTATGTAGATGAAAAAAGCAAATAACAAGGAAAGTTTAGGTCACTTATCCATGGTTCGCAGTATGAATTCAAACCCAGAGCACTCTTTCTATTACTCTACCTCCTTCCCCCTAGAAAAAATGTAATGCTTTTTGTCCTATTTCCATAAGGCGGACTGGAGGAATGAAAGTCATAGAGAAGTATAGAGGTGAAGCTGTCATAGTTACATGAAAGGGCTATTATGTGGAAAGATACTGTATTATAGTGAGTAATAATGGATCCTCTTTGCATCCTTCAAGGCACCCTGGTTTCTCCTGGGTTTCTCTAATGGACTGGTTGCAATACCTGTCCTATAATTCTGGGCTTCAAAGTCCCCTTAGTCTCAGCTCCCACCTCCAGGACTTACTCCCTGAAGTTAGAACTGAAAAGGACAAATGGCACAAGGCCAAAACTTCAGGCCCATTTCTTGGAGCCATGGGGCCTAAGGGGAAGGGAAGGGAATTCTCAGACCCTTCTGCGCAGCTTAATGCATTATATCCCTGCTATGTCTGAATGAGTCCTTCAAACCTAAACTAGACAAGAATAGAGAGTAACTGTTCTTCAATTAGATAGCTTTAAAGATGCAGCCAGGTTCAACTATGGCAGCCAGTGGAAAGAAACTCCTTCCATCCACATTGTAGGCCATCAAGAATGTCCACACATTTACACTAGTTTTCCTGTCTCAGAAGCAAGTTTTCTGCAATTTTCACACGGGGCCCTTCATCTTAGAGGATCTGGGCATAGGTCAAACCCATGTTAAGTAACTGTGAAGTGGGGCAGCTAGGTGGCCTTGGAGTCAGGAGGACCTGAGTCCAAATCTGGCCTCAGAACAAACACTTGACATTTACTAGTTGTGTGACCCTGGGCAAGTCACTTAACCCCGATTGCCTCACCAAAAAGCAAAAATAATAATAATAATAATTGTGAAGTATCATTGTATAATAACAAGACCACTCAATTTTGAGTAAGAAAAATGGGCTCAAATCTTAATTCTGACATTGCTTTTGTGACCTAAGACAAGTCACTTCAGGTCTTAGGACCTCAGTTTTGTTTGGTTTTACAGATGAAAACCTTAAGTCCCAAGTGATTGAGAGATTAAGGGCTGAGGGACATTGAAGGAAGAAGAGAAAGAGGAAAAGGAGAGGGAGATCAAAGAGAGGGAGGAGGATGACAGGAAAGGGAGAAGGAGGAAGAGAAGAGGAAGAAGGAGGAATAAAATGAGGAGAAAGAGGAGAAAGACAAGTTAATAATAACAACCTATGCTCTCTGTTATTATTTTCTGCTGAGGAGAGAAGAGAAGGCTGCAATGACCAATGTTCACTCAGAGAATCTACAATTCAATCTTCATTCAGATAATGAAATATACCCCTCTTTGTGGAGGGGTGATAGACTGTAGGTACCAAATGAGGCTTTTGATATGTGAGAATGTACTCTTCTTTTTCTTATGATATTCTGCTGAGAAAGAAAAAAATAGGAGCCTGTAAATGGTCAATTTAAAAATGATCAATTTAAACCCCATTGATGTTTCTTTGCATTGCCCCTAGTTGTTAGGTGGAGATGGAGAAGTGTCCTTCAAGGGAGCAGAGACAGAGTGCTTTTGCCAACTTTAGGACTAAGGATGTTGCATTTTCCTAAAACAGCAGACAGTATTTAGCTGAAAGCATCAGCTAAATCTGAAGCTAGAAGCGATGAATACTATAGCTGTTGTTGATAAGTTAAATCCAAGCAAGCAGAGGAACAACTCGAAAGAAGAGAATCAAAGAAGTTACTAGTTCAGCTAAGATAACATATCCAGTGAGATATTTGTTGAGTTCATTGCAAATCAACTCAGTTCAGCCTAGAAGATTCAAAGCAGAAGTCTCATTCATCAAAGAATTTTATGGATGGTTACTTAGGCAGAAAGAGGACACAGAAGTTTACAATTCTGGTATTATTCAGCTAGTCAATGAGCATTTATTAAACACTTACTATGTTTCAGATATTGTGCTAAGCACTGAGGATAGAGACTCTCAAGGAGTTCATTCTAATGGGAGAAACAATGAGAAAATAGCTATATATAAGCCAAATATATTGGGGGTTATCCTGATTAGATGGGCTTTCTTCATTCCTATTCTTCTCTGACAGGTTTCTGTGTGTGCCCACTCATGTTTTTCTTTGCCAGTTTTCTGTGTGTGCCTACTTTTTACCACAGATACTAAATATATTTTTGTAAGAGTATAATACAGGTTTATATGTGGACTAAAATGTATTTGTTGTTTCTGTATTTGCTTTATGTGAGTAACTGTGATGATGATTATTATTCTTACCTTTTTGTTAAGACCTGATGTATCATCATTGAGAGTAGCTGGTCTTGTATAAATAAAAGAATACCATTGAGTACTCCAGAGATACCATAGTGATCAGGAGGAGTGTATTCCTCCACAACAGGGTTAGCCCTAGGACCCTAAGAGAATTTGAGGATAGCCACATGGAGGCCTAGTGCTGCCAATGTGAAGAGAGGCTGGGTTGATCAAGTCAAACCATAGAATAAGTAGGGGATCCACACTAAAGGCACTGCTGCATGAATTACACAAAAATAAAATGAATGTAGCTGGAATTGGGGAAAAAAGCTGATAGAAGGAATCTGATAAAAGTATAACTAACATACTGCTAATGGAGATGTGAATTGGTCTAGTTACTTTGGAAAACAAAGGAATTATGTAAAAACAATGTAAAATTCTTCATCCCAACTACTGTGTCTACTTGATCTTACTACTGGATCAATACACCATAGAAATAATTCACAGCAAAAAAATTTCCATTTGTTTTATCTATATACATAGATGTGTGTGTGCATGTACATATACATGCACACACACACACATATGTATATATGATGTCCCAAGAGATTTAGTATAATTTAAGCTTTCATATATGTATTTAATATATATTTACAACAGTACTTTTTTTTTTAGGCAATTGGGGTTAAGTGACTTGCCCAGGGTCACACAGCTAGTAAGTGTCAAGTGTTTGGTCTGAGGCTGGATTTGAACTCAGGTACTCCTGACTTCAGGGCTGGAGCTCTATCCACTGCGCCACCTAGCTGCCCCCTACAGTACTATTTTTAATGCCAAAAAAATGGAAGCAACCTTTTCCCAACAAATGGGTAATAGTTGTTATCCATTTTATAATGTTGTATAAGACTATAATAGCACATTACTAACCTTAAAGAATAATGAATATTATTTATATTATATTATAAAATTCAAAAAGTATGGCAAAATTTGAATATGCTAAAGCAGAACAAAGGAAACATCTAAAAGAAAATTGTATACAGTGACAATCCCATGTAAGTGAAGACAAGATTAAATTAAATCAAAATTTGAATCAAGTACAAGAATGTATTTGACTTGCAAATATGTGATACTAACTTATTAAAGTTAAAGCAACCATGAAAAAATAACTAAACAAAAAATAACCTTTAAGGTATAAGTATACATACTATGAGTCACCATCACTCTTTTTGTACTATTTTACTTAACTTTTTATCCATTTAAAAACTAGACATTAATCAGTATTTATAATACTACATATGTGTGCTTTTTCCTTTCTTTCTTGATTATATACTCAAAGGGAAAACAGAACCAATATTTCCACATAAGCATAACCCAAAATGCCACCATTCTCATGGGAGCAGCTACCAGAATTATAGACATAATATCTAAGGGCAAACTCAAACTAAACAACAGCTAAAGGGAAATTTGAGCTAAGCATCTTGTTCCATGACTAACCACTTTTGTTCATTCACCAAAAGAAATAAGATATTACCTATCTCCAGAAATCTCTAGGGACACCTATTCTGCTTGCTTCTATTTAAGTAAGCATTTTCTCGCTGTTGAAAAGAAAATAACTTCCTGCAAACCCAAAGTTACCAACAAATTACTGAATGAATATTAAATGATTTAAGGAATCATAATAACAGTAGAGGAAGGTAATAAGAAGGAATGCAAATATCAGGATATATTCAATCTACCCAAAGTGAGACATCTTCATGATTTGATAGCTGGAAGGAGTATTTAGATAGGAGGTCAAGATCAGAATCCTTCAGTACTGTGACACGGAGAAGTAATGACAAAGAAATAAAAGTTCTTTCAAACCACCTGTGGGAAATTCTAAGGAGCCCCCAGTGCTCTATTCTAGAAGGTGGCCAGAAGTATGGAAAGGTGGAAGGATTTTTCTTTGCCCCTCATTACACTATAAACCATTTCTTGAAGGTATTGGTTCTTTAGAATAAGAAGGCTAACTTTTAGGAAGTGTATCCAAAGTATGCAGAATCAGCAAAAACATTAAAACAAATATATGAGAACAGCTCATTTCTACTACTCAGAACTAAGCCACAAACCAGCCCTTCCATCTAAATACAGTCAGTCATACCTGCACAAATACACATAAACAAACATATGCCTCCTTTCTTCTAATACCATGTTTCCTCTAATTGGTGTTTTCCCCTTCTCCTATCCTCCAGATTCAACGTCTCTGATTCTCTTTATATCCATTTGAGTACAACAGTTTTTCAGACAGACTGCTTAATTCAAACCCTTTAGGGGAAAAATATGAGAAGTAGGATTAGATTACCAGAACTGGAAATAGGAGCTATGTTTTAACAATTATGTCAGCATATTTCTTCCTCCCCAATGATAAAATTAAATTTTATTTCAGGATCATACTTCTGGCTCTGAAAATGATAGAAATGAACCAGTATCACACTTCATCAACCAATCAGACAACATGAAGCAGGTGAATGGCCCATTGAGCTCACCTATCCCTCTGCCTGCTGCGGTAAAGGTACAGAAATACACATAACAGCTAAATCCAGGCTCACCACCTACCTTTTGGGTCACACTCAGCCCACAGGGTAAAGTACTAAAGTTCTGAGCTCATTTCTCTGAATCGTGTCTGAGTTCATGAGGAATAGTGTAGCTAGGAGCATTACCAAAAATATTCTTATGTGAGTTTGACTAGATATACTCTGTGGTCCCTCTAAGAGTCTATGATTCTGAGACAAATCTCCCCCATGCTCAAAATTAGCCCATTAAATAGCACCCTAGATTAGTGTGTTTTATAGGTTTTACTCTGTCTAAAGAGAATGTATAGCATAGTTTGAAAGTAAACCATAGGTGCATGTGAACTTGCTATCAATACAACTGATTCTTCATCACTGCAGATAGCTAGGTTCATCTTGGGATGAGGGTAGTTAAGGTGAGAGTAGCTATGTTCAGTCCATCAACAATTTTTTATTGAACATCTACTATATTTGGGACACTATTCTAAGTACTATTTTGTGGAGTGGGAAGGGTAGAATAAAGAGAAATATTTGACAGGATCCTTGTCCCCAAGGAGATAGAAGACTCCAATATTTTCAAGATTAAAATATAAAAGGGGAAATAAAATAACACAAAAAGATAACTCACAACAATGATTGTTGCCTCACAACCATCAAGCTGCAACAAAAATGAATGATTTTATATTTTCTAAAAATGAAAGTTAATGCTTTCTGGTAACAATTTCCATTGGTCCTGAGATTGTATGTATTCACGAGGAAAGGGTTCAGAAAAGTATTAGCTATTAAATCTAGAAAAAGAGTATTATTGGATACTTGGGTCAGCAAAACTATGGGATGGCAAAGTAACAGTATTAACTGTATCCAATAAAATGATTATCATGGAAAGTTTGTAAAAATACACAAATTATTTTGAATTTAACCAACTTGCTAAATGCTAATGAGTGATACAGATAGTACAAGGAGAAGAAAAGATCACTGTTACGTAGGGTAGTCAAGGAAGACTTCAATAAAATTCAGTGTTCCTCCAGTCAAAAAGTCTGAACAATTGGTGAGGAGAGGGAAAAGAGAGGTATTAACTGCTCTTCTTCCACTTTGGTGCTGTGTATAGACAACACTTAAAAAAACAAAAACAAGGAGACCTAAAAGCTCTGGGCTGGTATTGGAGGCTAGTGTATCATACGTGTAGTTCCTGAGTTCTGTGGGTGTGAACCTGGGAAGGAAGAACAAGAGAGCAGATGGCAGAGCTGTACCACTCTTAGCGTATGGTAATCCTAGATGGCTTTCACTAGGAAAACTAGTGCCTTTCCTAGGTGTGTTTCTCCATGATGTATGTGTCCCTATAGAGATTGTCACTATCCTGACACAAATCTAATTTATCAATTCAGTTGCCACAAATAGTTAAATAACTTATAAAAATTGCTAACCTAGTCATCAACAAAAACAATAAACATGAATCTTAACCCTCAAATCCTTAGCCTTTGAAAAGGAAGAACCAAATTAATTAAGAAACAACAAAAAGCAAAGAAAATGTTTTTGTTCTATGGCCCCTTCCAAATCCATTGAGTTCCATCAATTTTGCACCTATTTTCATCTTTTTCTTGTCTTCTGTTCTCTCCTCTTCTCTCTCCATTTTCCTTTTCTCCCCTTTCTCCATTCTCCTTTCTTTTTCCTTTTCTTTTCCTCCTTTCCTTTCATGAATATGTATGTAGCTTTGATAGTGCTGATTTTGCTATGCATTACTATGTAAAAGTCTTTGCACCTTCCTTAAGTGTTCCATATTTATCATTTTGTGTCGCCACAATATTCCAGTATATTAATATGCCATATTAACCTCTCTGAGTCTCTGATAACTCTCTTAAGTTTGTGAATTATAAAAATGTCATGATCTGCATAGGTAAAGAAAATTACCACACTGTTAAAATTACAGGTTTTCAACATGATGTGCAAGAATTTGTTCAGTTCTAATTAAACTATACTTTAATTGCTAGATGCCTTACTACCTGTGTTAGCCTTGCTGGACCTCAGTTTCCTCATCTGTAAAATAAAGGGATTGGACTAGATGGCCTCCAAATTCTCTTCCAGCTCCAGATCTGTAATCCTATAATCTATGTTACACATGTAGGTCATTTCCAGTTTATCTTTTTTATCATTACTACTAGGTGGAACCATAATGCATGAAGTACTAGGCCTGAAGTCAGGAAGACTCATCTTCCTGAGTTCAAATCTGGCCTTTTTTTGCTGTGTGACTTAACCCTGGCTAAGTCACTTAACCCCGTTTACTTCAGTTTCTTCATCTGTAAAATGAGCTGGAGAAGAAAATAGCAAACCACTCCAGTATCTTTGCCAAGAAAACTCCAAGCAGAGTCACAAAGAGTAGGACTGAAATAACTAAATAACAAAGTGGCTATGAATATTTTTTGTAAAGATAAATCTTTTTTACCTTGTCACTCCCTTACTCCTCTAATTCTAATATGTTACATTTCTTATCTAATTTTTGTACTAATTTGGAGTTTACCTTGGTATGCGGTGTGAGATGTTGCTCTGCACAAAAATTCTACCAGACTACTTTCCAGCTTTCCCAGCAGTTGACAAATTATGAGTCCAAACCTGAGGAATTGAATTCTTTGGGTTTATCAAACATTATTATCCTATGTTTCTTTGCTTCTGTATGTTGTAAGCCTAATCTATTTCATTGACTAACTTCTCTGTTTTTAAACCAGTGCTAAAAGTGTTGATAATTACTGCTTTATTATTGTTTCAATTAATTTTACTTGATTTTTTTAGATTCTCTAGATAGACTATTAAATTGTCTGAGAAAAAAGTGATAGCTTTTTCACCTCTTTACCTATATTTATTTCATTGATTTATTTTTCTTGTATTCTCAAAGCTAGCATTTCTAGAATTATGTCTAATAATAATAGTGCTTTACCTCTGATTTTATTGCAAAAGACTGAAGCTTACCTTTGGAAAAAATAAATGTATTTATTTTACATGTATTTATAATATATTCTTCCCACCCTCTCCCCAATTAAACAAGAAAGAAAGAGAGAGAGAGAGAGAGAGAGAGAGAGAGAGAGAGAGAGAGAGAGAGCGCTCTATAAAGTAATTTTTTGGTAGTTTGGTATGACACTGAATAAGTAAATTAATTCAGGTAGAATTGTCATTTTTATTTATTAGCTCCACCTAACCATGAGCAACTGATATTTTTCCAGTTATTTAGATTTGACTTTATTTGTGTAAAAAGTGTTTTGTAATGGTGTTCACATAGTTCCTGGGTTTATTTAGGCAGGTAGACTCCTAAATATTTTATAATGTCTACAGTAACTTTAAATGGAATTTCTCTTTCTATCTCTTGCTGTTGGGTTTTGTTGATAATATATAGAAATGCCTATGATTTATGTGGGCTTATTTTATATCCTGCAACTTTGCTAAAGTTGTTTATTATTTTGAGTAGTTTACTTGATTCTCTAGGATTCTCTAAGTATATCATCATGTCATCTGCAAAGAGTGATAGCTTTGTTTCTTCTTTGCCTATTCTAATACCTTCAATTTCTTTTTCTTCTCTTATTGCTAAAGCTAACATTTCTAGTACCACATTGAACAACAGTGGTGATAACGAACATCCTAGTTTCAACCCTTATCTTAGTGGAAATGCTTCTAGCTTATCCCTATTCATTTCATCATTTCTTATGGAACAATAATATTCCATTATATTCATATACTATGATTTGTTTAGCCTTCTTCAAAAGGAGAACATTTTATTACATTACAATTTCAATTAATATAAAAGGATCTGATATATATATATGTATATCTGTACATACATACATATAGAAATACATATTTGTACATATAAGTCCTTTCCTCTTTCTTTGATTTCTTTGGGGAATATAGGCACATATATAATATCCATAGCTATATAAATATATTTATATATGTGCATATATGAGTATATTCTATATGTGTGTGTATGTATATGGAATAGTAGTGGTATAGCTGGGTCAAAGAGTACATATGATTTAGAAAATTTGGTAGTGTAGTTCCAAAATTCATGGCTCTACCAAAAGTATGCTAATGTGCTTGTTTTCCTACAGCCCTACCAACATTTGTTATTTTTTGGTAGTCTTTGGCAGTCAGATGAATATGAGATAAAACCTCAAAATTTATTTAATTTTTTGTTGTTTTTGAGTCATTTCAGTTGTTTCTGACTCTTTGTGACTCATTTGGGGTTTTCTTGGCAAAGATACTGGAGTGGTTTGCCATTTTATTTTCCAGCTCATTTTACAGATGAGGAAATGATGCAAACAGGGGTAAGTGACTTGACCAAGGTCACACAGCTAGTAAGTATCTGAGGCCAGATTTGAAATGTATTTATTTATTTTACATGTATTTTATATCTCTAGGGCCAATGCTCTATTTTATACAGTTTTTGATAGCTTGGATTTCTTCCTTTCAGAAATGACTGCTCATATCCTTTTACTATTTATCTATTTTAGAATAGTTCTTAGCAACAATTAGAAGAATTCTTAGTAATAGTTAGAATAGTTCTTAAGTAATAATTTGAATGTTTCTTTTAATATCCTGAGACCTTTAGCAGAGAAATTTGCTGCAATGATTTTTTGCATTTACCTGTTTCCCTTTTAATTTTAACTACATTAGATTTTTTATGCAAAAACTTTTAATTTTGTATAATAAAAATTATCCATTTTATCTTATATAATCCTATCACATACTAGTTGCAAATTTCCCCCCCTCAATAGACCTGAAAGGTAATTTCTCCTTTATTCCTCTAGTTTGTTTATTTTTATTATTTTTTTGAGACTGGATCTCCCTTTCTCAACCAGGCTAGAAGTACAGTCTCACTTTTAATTAGCACAAGAGCTTTGACCAGCTCTGTTTCCAACCTGGACTAATTTGCCCACTCCTTACACACCCTGGTTGATCCTCAACTCATCATTCCAAACTTAGTGTGGACACCCAATTGGCTTATACTGTGGCAGTT